GGGTGGGGGGGGTTCTCCAATGAATTGACATACAAAAGACACAAAACTGCACACGCATTATATGCGTGCACAATAATATACAATATTTCACGGCATGGTCTACCTTGCAGACCCCGTTGAAGATATAAGAAATCCATTAAATAAATAATGCTTATAAGTAAGCCACAAACAAAAGATCCCAGACGCATGTAGAGGTCCTATTACCTATCCCAAAATTAAAATAGATCAGAAATAAATCACGTAAAATTAAACAACAGTTAGAAAATAACGAAATACTTCGCCACAAAATAAAAATAACGAAGTAAAACGTTTCTTCTTAAAACGACTTCGTTCCAAGTAAAAGTACTCCAGAAAAAGTTTACCTTGTTACATGCTCACTTCTCAAAAATAGTACTCAAGTACAGTAACGAAGTACATTTACTTCGTTACTTGAAACCACTGCATATACAGGATGCATATACAAGCACCTCTACTACCGATATCCCGCAGCAAGTTTTCCATTTCAGTCATTCTCCGTAAGTATTTTTTCACAAGTTTTGAAGAAGAAATTGTGGCAAATGTGAAAGTTTATTTATAAAAGGAGTAAATATGCACAGTTGTATCTTTCGGCAATTAATCATTAATATCTTGAAATTGAAAACCTGTTTTAAAACTGTTATAAATCTTGCTCAAAAGTATATAGTGCCGTTAGAAAGTATACTGTCCTAGTGAGCAAAAATTCAAGATATTTTGAGGTAGAATCCCATAAACGAAATTGCAGAACGACTGGCTAAAATCGAGTCATTTTTATGCCTAGTGTACGTAGAGAAGTTAGTGTTACTCGATTATATATCATCTGTTGCTGCTATTTTTTGCGACACGTCGCCTATATACAAGAGTGTAACAAATGTCATATAACACATCGCGTGGTCTCAACTAAAGCACGTATAAGTTATATATATTTTTTGATTTCAATAATTTTACTATTGGACGGTGAAGAAGCAAATAAATAGTTTAATTAAACTCTAAAAGTTGAATCCGTCTTTTACGTAAAACGGTAATAGACATAAGTGCTTGCATGTATGTAGGCACAAATTGAAAGACTCCTACTCGCCAGAATATCTAATAGTTTAAGATTACGTTTACGTATATTTTTGACACTCCTACGCAACACAACATTGAAAAGTTCTGAACAGGGGCGTAGGAAGCTAAGTTATTTGGGGAGGGGGTAATGTGGTGGCGAAGAGGTCTGGGGATATCCCCCCAGAAAGTTTTGAAATGTAAATCCTCTAAAATGGCATTTTCGGCGATTTTGGAGCGTCGTTCTGGGAAACATTCAGTCAGATAAATAACAATAATGGATTTCAGTATTAACTTTACATTATTATGGAGGCCCCGAAACCTACTGCGGCCACTCTTTGACAAACTTTGGGGGCAGAGGGGCACCCCCTCCCCCATGATTCCTACCCCCTGGGTGTCAACGTACGTATCATAATTCTTTTGACTTTACAACATTTGTGCTATTTCTCAGTCATGTATAACAAGGCAAAATGTACACTATACAAAATAATTATACACTATTAAAATTTTTTAAATATGCAACCAAAAATCAACAATAATTCTAACCGTCATCAGCGCAAGGTGTAAACTAGAATCTAAACTAAACACCAATTCAACAACTGTATCCTTTCCAACTTTCGTAGGTAACCAGTTTTCTTAACAGAGAACCTGCTAAAGTGAAAGGTATATGGTACTGCTGTTCAATATAATATTCAACATGCAATTCGGGGCTTAACACACCAAGTTAAGACCTTGCAGTCAACAAGTGTTTTACTATCTTCACCCCTTCACGACGCAGGATCGAATTTTTCCAGAAAAATATGAGACAGTTGAACGTCGAGTTCATAGAGACAAATGTGAGGACCCAAAGATTAAATAACACGACTTGTCTATCGTACAATGGCGTTTCTGACGTCAAACGCAAAGCAGAAAATATAATTTGCGGACTAGAGCAGATGAAAAAACAGGCAACCGCTAAGGAACATGTTAAAATAGTTTTAAAATTTAGCATGCGCAGTTTTCTTCCTTCGTCTCTCGACATTGCTGTAGCTGGAGCAACATCTTTATTCCTGAATTTTGACTTGGCGATGATAAACATTTTGTAATTGAAGTAAATGAACAGGAAGAGTAAAACAAACAAGTCAGCCATAACAAAAACGTGGCTCAGTATTTTCAGGTTATTAAGAAACAACACGATCTGACCAGATAGGAAAATCGTCAAAAATGCTTGAAGAGTTAAGAGCTTTTTCTTAGTGACCGATGTTCGATGGAATATTGGAAACGTTAAGCCCAAGAATCTTTCAATGTTCAGTGTGAAGAGGGCGGCCATGGAAAACGCATGGGGAAGAATACATATGTATATCTTTACTTGTTCACGGCGTTCACTACAATCTTCGTTAGACCAGAAAATTGTTGATAATATTATCACAGGATGAGTGATGGTGACAACAGCGAGATCAAAACAAGATAATAGTAGAATCGTAAAGTCGCATAGTTTCTTTCGAAGTTTTGACAACCTCCTTAGACTGATTATTGTCACGGTATTCAGAAATATTCCTGCAAGCATGAAGATAACATTCAGAAGACACAGAAATAGCGTGTTAATAAAAGTGTTTGGATCCATTGTAAGTCTTGTGTCCTGTATAGATCTTTTCTGTTTTTCCTTTAAAACGCGTGTTCTGTCGCACGAAGAATATACGAATAAATGTGAAAACTTTCATATGCACCTGTACATTTATTGATTTAAAACAATGATTTCGTCATATTGAAGTACGCCTCATAAGAATGCTCTTGTAAAACAAAGCAATAACGCACTGTTAATAAAATTTCGTATAGATTTGATGATCAGTCGCATTGCTCTGTGTCAAGATATGACATTCAGTAAAAGTAATTTTGAAAACTTGCATGCAAATTTTTGAAGAGCAGGCGTATAACTAGGGACAGTTCACACAAACAATATAGATATGATCCAAGATCGATTCAAAGACGAATCAGGCCAGGTGTGGACCGAGATCGATCTAAACGAGGCCATTTTGAGAGATTCGCTGGAATCGGTTAACGTTTTAAAACGAAGCTTAGCTGTTGGAATTTCTTGCTTAGCTGTTGGGATCCTACACCATTCAGCTGTACGTGATACGCAATGATGTTGATGGCAATAGCGTTTTTGACATTTGTGCGCGGTCACAAATTCAAAATTAGAAAAGTCAATAACTGAACAAAGCGCGCCAAATTTGATCACAATGGGTTTTTTTATAATACGCGTATAATCTAGGCATGGTGGAAAACGCGGGTATGGGTACCGGGTATGGGTAGCGGGTAGCGGGTACCGGGTAGCGGGTACCGGGTACGTTTTGTACCTTTTCTGTATTTTGCCAAACAATTTCAAGGCTAAAAGATCCCGGTAAAATCCGTTGTGGATTTCTGTTGTTAAAATGGCCGAACAATCTTTCTTCCATCAAAGATAGTTTTAAAGTATGTATAATTTGAATAAAACAGTTTAATTTGAAATACGCTTATTTTAGATATCTTTAGCACACCAATTTGTTGCATTATATTGTATTTTTTTCTAGTTGCGCGGTTATTTGACGGAAAAGCAAAAAAAACAGCACTGCATTCAGTTAATATTATAGCCACCTTGCTATAGACAAAATGACGTAAAATACCACCGTAAATCACACATTTTTATAATAATATACGTCATCGCTGTCTGTGCAATATAGGAGACCATTTGATGGACTGTCTATGATAACATTTTTAAATATTGACATCTTCTTGTTTGAAGTTTTAAGCGATATTATTTTTTATCGTTAAAACTTGTTTTGGGAACGACACAATTGCGAGTGCGCAAAACTTGCTTGAAAGCAACTATTTTATTCTATCTCACTTCAAGTAACAATAAACAAAATGGAAAAAATTAAGATTATATGCTCACAAGCTTGTGATAATATTATATCTTATCCAGAAAGAATAAACTCAACTTGTACTCTGCATTAAAATAATGTTATTCATTGTGAACCAAAAAAAGTTCGATGCTCTCATATTCTTTAAATGCCCAAATGTTCTCTAAGATATGCAGCGTGAACCTCAAGCAGATGTGGTTTAATTTGTTGTGGGATTGAACACGTGAGCCCTTGGAAACCAGACTGCTTTCTTGCTACGCATGATTGGTTGCAGTGAAAATAGACATTTGCCATTTTGCTCTGAGATGTTCCTTGGTACGACCATTCTCCCAGCATCTTAGAAACAATGACCAAATCGTTTGGGGGTAATTCTGGCGCATTATTTGCTTTAAGAGGGTTACCACAACCAAAACATTTTGATGTATGACTCGGGCAAAACTGCATCAGATAGATGTGGAATTCGCCAATATTTGGACTTGGAAATGCTACCCTTTGGCAATAATTATTTGATGCGTTTGATGGTGGTGGATGATAATCTGTGGCGTGACCGACTGCAGCACGAGGTTGCAATGAAGATGCAGGAACGAATGACGAAACCGATTGCCGTGCCATGGCAGGTGATACCGAAGGAATCTGTTGCTCTAACATGGGGTTAGGTCTGTAGGTCAGTGGACCAGTTGCACTGCTAACTGAAGGTTGTGAAATTGATGTAAGAATCAAAGGCTGTTTTCTGCGTGGAGAAACAAGTGGCTGAGAAGATGGTACGATGTACGGTGAAGGTTGCGAGATCTGTTGTCGCAATATTGTTGTGTTTGACAGGTTCAAATCAATCAATCAATCAATCAATCAATCAATCAATCTGTTTAATTAAAACCAATTTGCAGTTTTTAAAGGAAAACTGAATTACATGGAGTACTAATATAGCATAAAAATTTATATTAAAATGTACATATATATATATTATATAAAATAATGTTTATTTAGTTGGGACTGTTAATTAACTATGAAGCTAATAATATTTCCTAGTCACGAAGTTTTTTAACCGTTCAGTGGTTTCTGACCATAAAGGTTGTTCGGCCGTTCTGTCATTCCTTAAGTCATAGTCATGAGTTTTTACCCCGGGACGAATTTCCATAATTTGGGTCAAAGGGTTGTAGGGTGAAACATCACGTCGCAGAGATTCGACGAATTTCTTGCAAGAGATGTCTCTACGAGTACTCGGATACTGTAAGTTTGAAATTTCAAGGGCTTCATCATATAACAGATCTGGATAAGCTATTCTCAATGCTCTCTTTTGAACAGATTCGAGAATGTCAGATAATGATTTCGGTATTGACGACCATACAGGGGATGCATATTCAATTCTGGATCTGATGAATGAGATATATATTTGGACGATGTCAGATGCTTGAAGACCAGCCTTTTTTAACAGACGCAATGCGTATAAGCGAGAATTTGCCTTTTTCAATACCATGTCGACATGAGTATTCCATGACAAGTCATTTGATATCCATACACCTAGGAGTTTGAAAGAGGACACAGTTTCCACCGGTTTACCTGCAACATAGATCGGGTTTTCATTATCAGATCCTTTATATTTAAGAAAGTTGATCAACATTTGTTTGCATTTCTTATAATTTAGTTCCATTCCACGTTCTAAGGCGTAGTCCGAGATTTCATTTACGACTAATGGCATTAAACTGGATGAAAAACGTGGTATAATCTCTAGGGCTGAGGTGTCATCCACAAACTTGATCCTACTGGGCCAGTTTTTAAGCAAGGAATTAATGAGAACAGCAAACAATAATGGACCCAACTTTGTACCTTGTGGCAAGCCACCATTTGTTTTCTTCCAAGAGGACATAGAAGTTCCCACCCGGACACATTGTTCGCGATCGCAGAGGAAGGCTTTAATCCACCGAATTATAGAGGGATGGGTACCAAGCAGGGTTAATTCTTTAATAATAACATTGTGGTCTACTAGGTCAAAACCTTTCTTGAAATCTGCAAAGAACAATCTGGCAGTACAGAAACCTCTCTCAAGAGCAACCAAGATTGAATGTAAAAGGTAGACCAAAGCGTGGGTCGTTGATTTCTTTGGGAGTGCAAATTGTTTGGTGTCAAGTTTATTTACAACTTCAGGAAAAAAATTGTCCAAAGTACAATCCTCCATAACTTTGGCGATCTGAGATGTTAAAGATATTGGTCGTAGGTCGTCTTCAATACTCTTTGGGGGTGATACCTTAGGGACAGGCACTACAATAGATCTCTTCAATGCCTTTGGGAAGGTGCCTTGTGTCATGGATGAGTTGAAAATGTCTGAGATAACTGGGGCAAGCTCAAAGGCAAATGTTTTCAGGATTTTATTTGGAAACATGTCAGGACCCGGTGATTTTGTGGTTTTAATTTTACTAAGTTTCATATAGATCTGTTGGGCGTCAACGAGGTAATGGTTTGGTACTTCTAGGCCCTCCTGGATTTCGTCGAGAGTTAGAGGGTCAAAATGTGATGTAAGGGCAGTAAGAAAGTTATTAAAATTTTCGGCCAGTTCTTCGCAATTCCGAACATCATCAGAAAATAGCTGAGAATACCAAGAATTTTTTGACGAGAGACCACCAATGGCTTTCACTTCTTTCCACCATCTTGCCGGGTTAGAATTTTTTAATGTTCTCAACTGACCTCATATAGTAGATCTTTCGTGCAACTTTAATGCATGATTGGACTCTATTACGCCAATATTTATAAATATCTGAATTTTTCCCGCTTTCGTGTAAGGCTTTTTGGCGTCTCCCAATAGCAGACTTTATTGATGACGTCATCCAAGGCTTATCACACTTTCGTACTTTAATCCGTTCCAAGGGGAAGAATTTTTCAATCATCACAGTCATTGTATCGTTAAACTTTTTATATTTTGTATCACAGTCATGTATGTCCAAGATAGGAGACCAGTCAAATGTAGTGATATATCGTCCAAAAGGCCGTATCCTGCTATCTCTGAGATCGCGTTTCCATATATGTGAATTGTCTGGCTTTGAGGGAGAAGGTTGGGCTTTCATAAGAATCGTATAATGATCACTGGTTCCAATGGGAGGAAGTTGGATTGATTCGTAAATATTATCCACCTTTGAGTTGGTTAAACACCAGTCTAAAGTTACATCAGCTCTGGTAGCTACCTTGACTATCTGCGATTTTTATCGGCCGACTAAAATCGCATCGTGTGCGCCAGGCTTTAGTGACACACAAAAAGCAAACTCGTCAACCTTCTTTCTTTCATTCGTCTCAGAGCGGGTGAAATCTTGAATAAGTCGGTTGATTTGTTCCGAACGGTTGGTGGTAAAGCGCTCTGGTGGACAACCAAGTCCGGCTCTCTGACGAACAGGACTGATCGCTGAAGTGACAAATTCTTGACGTTTGTGATCACAAAACCACTCGTAAAACGACAACCCATTAGGATGTGAAGTCAACCACTTTTCTTTGCTGTTGACAAGCATGATGTCGAACTTCTCCTGATTTTCCGCATCAATCAAACCGTTTTCTTGGACGCTTCCTATCTTTCGACCAAAGATGTAGAAGGACAGGGCAGATAAAAGATGGATGGCTTCCGTCTCGCCGGTTTTCAAGTAAGAGATGCTGTTACGTAATTGGTGTAACATTAAATTCACCAATGTCAAAAGTTGGGTCTACCGTAAACGGACGATATTCAACCGGGCTACAACAAAAACGCGTCAAGTCGTTCAGCTGTCTATTTATCGTCATTATACAAAGTGGTTCTGGTGCCACCGTAACGTCTCGGATAAAAGCAGTAGATGGTTTTGAAGCTTGACCTTTACATTCCGAAAGAAGACGATACCAAGGGTCATCTGTTCCTCCTTGCCGCGAAAGATTTTTTCTTTCGTTTTCTTTCAATATGTTTCTACTGAAATCTTTCACTTGCTGCCGATTCCGAGGTACTTGTCTCACGCTGACGCAACCCTCAATTCCTCCCAAGCCTTCGGAAATTGTTTTGTATTGAACTTCACGGAGTTTCGCTTGCGTGCAGTTATTCTGTACGAGGGATTTTGTGCTTGACCAAGTTCGCACGTATTGCTGGGATGTTTTTGCGTTTCCGTGTGAGTGCTGCCTAATTGGATGCTCTATTCCTCCTTTAAATGAATATTGGACCAAGCAATACCTGTATAGTTTTCCATCGGGCACCACATAGAAAGTCGGGACAAAATAACGTATAAACCGAATAAATCCTATAACGTATAAACCCTGGGCTCACTGTCGACCCTGTTAGTATAGGTATCTATTAGTGGAATGTAACAATAACAAAACAAAAGTTGGGCAATTTTTGCGGCAGTTGGGCAAATTTCAAACAGCCCCCCCGAAAAATATTACCCGATACGCCCATGTGTATAGAATCTTGTAAGTTTTAGTTAATATTCATTATGCCAATTTATCTAAAGAGTGCCGCGCCTTGTGATACGAACGACTTAGTAATAAATATGCCTAGTCAAAATTTTTAGTCCTTTTATGTTCAATTTTCATGTGCCACGTACATGTAGATTTTTGTATATAATTCTTAGAATCTCCATCAGGTATAAGGAACCTTTGTGAACAAACTTTTCTTGTAGTCGGGAAAATTTGACATTTGACATGCTATTATTTTAAACTAGCGAAAAGTAAAAAAAAATTGTCAATTTAAAACTTACTGATTACGGTGTCTATTCTCCTTTTGAAATCCTCATTATTTTCATCACCCTGCAGCGTAAAATAATGCCGCTTGATTGACACAATTTCATTTTCTGGAAATTCGCCAACGATTTTCTTATCAACTAGAACCCAATCATTCTTCTGCTTTGTTAAGAGGAACTTGTTATAACTTTGGTTCTTCCAGCTTCCTAAGTCATCACACTTTACATCATCATCTTGACATTTAAGTGAACCCAAGTCTACTATAAATGTTCTGTTATGCTCGACGTGCAATATGGCTGTTGGCTGCATACTAATTCAGAACTCACGGAACTACCAATATTGAACAAAACATTAATAACCTCAACCGGAGAGAGGATCTTGTTTTCCATTGAGTAAATTGGCAGAAGAAGATTCCCATTATAATACTGTATAGTTTTATGAATATCACTTGACGTTTCAGAAAAATCGCCGCTACTATCAGAACTAGTGGGTGTTTTATATGCTGCTGTTCCCAAAGACGACTTTGAAGTGTTTTTCTCCCAGTTTCTATGAAGGTCGGTTGAATTGTTAGGAAAACTTCCCTTAGCTTCGTTGTCCCGTTGGCTTCTACGAATTGAATAAAAAGTTTCGGTGATTGCACTGGTCGCCTTTGTAGTGATTGTTTTTTCCATTTGAAATATTTGGAACTTTTTGATCAAAGTTGAAATACATATAGGTAAATATAAATTATAAATATTTTATACCTAGATTCACCCCTTGGCCTATTCTGTTGTGTCAGATCAACTAAACTAAATTTTTTCATCGCTTTCGTAGACCTAAAATGAAAAGAGAAGAGTAAAAGTTAGATAAATGTATCAAGATCTTTAATGGTTATAAAACAACTTTTTCTACCTTGGTTCACTGCCAAGTTGTTTCGGTTGTGTCAAGTCAATTAAAGCAGGTTTTTGCATTCCTTCTGTGGGCTTGTTCCTAAAGTGACGGAGAAAGGAAACAGCACAATTCAATTGCTTTTTGTGTTTTACGGATTATTTTCAGTGGCGTATCCAGAACGATAATTGGGGGTGGGGGGCCCATATTCATATATTCGTGTTCACATACCATAAAAACAATTGATTTCAAAAGAAATTAATAAAGCAGAACACGAATATATGAATATGCCCCCCCCCCTAATTATCGTTCTGGCTATGCCACTGATTATTTTAAGGCAAGAGCAGCATTGTTTCTTTTGATTATTGTCAAGAGTATGCATTTAAGAGTTTTCTAGTTTAGTATTTGTTTGATCGGTGAATAAAACTAGCTATAGACTATATCAGTAAATCATCATAGAAACATATCAAATTTCAAGATCTAGCTCTGTTGTGAAAAAACGCGCCCTTCAATGATTTGGATTTTTACTTTATTCTTTGACTTTCTTTAGTTCTGGATATCGAGCCTTACGTACACTCTCTATTTCTTCGGGAAACTGTTCCGACATGCCAATTTTTGTGCCTTTTAGCTTCTTTGCATTTAATCGCACAAATTCCCTATCTTGGTAATAGTTGAATTTAGCCACGATTGGTCTTGGTTTCTGATTTCCGGCTTTCCTTTTAATCAAGGCATTTTTTAATACCATGGTCTGGTGGGTCATTTGCCCCACTGGGCCCCTTTCTCTGCCCACCACTGAAGAAAAAATACGGCCTATTGCCCGAAAGCCAGGGCCCTAGGACCTGTATTGAGTAAATGAGTTTAACATTGAAAACAAGTTTAAAAAACAAAACTTGTTGTTGAGCATACTTAAACTTATGTTGTGTTTGAATGTTTAGCGTGCAATTTATTACAAATTTCAATATTAAAACTTTGTTTTGAGAAGCTGAGATTTTTAAAAAAAAATTTTTCAGAGTGCAGGAAATGCTATTTCAGAGACTCAAATTTTAAAAATTTCCTGCGGGGGCCATGCTCCCAGACCCCCCTAGCTAACTCGTGCCTGCAGTACTTGCTCACACCTTCGGTGATCGCATACTATTCTGGGGGGAGGGCAAGGAAAATGGGCCCCTTGGCAGTTTTGCCCCACCACTGAAGAATCCTTAAAAAATGCACTGTTCTTTTTCCCAATCCGATGAGATCGATTGATTTTCACTTTATTTCCTGCGTCCGTCATTTCCAACTTAGATTTCGGTCAATCGTGGATGATATCGGACGTATTTTCTTTCTTGCTTTCAGAAATGTTAAAGAATAATAAGTTGCCGCGCATCGACCTTGCCTGTAGGTCGATTACTTCGTCGCGCAACGTGTAACTTATTGTATCGTTCAAGATTTCCAATCCTTTCGGCTGCTTTCGCTTGGTCTAACTTCATCAAATTATTTTCGTTCTTCAGATCCTCTATTTCTGCATGTGCGTAGTCTAGGGATTTCTTTATTTCTTTCATATCTGCCTCAATATTATCTAACTCCTCCAGTTTCTTTACGACTGTTGTAAACATTCTTCTTCTTTCATCTTCGGTTGTGTCACGGGTGTGTTAGGTTTTGGTACTTTTGTTTTTATTGTTTTAATTGGCGTGCATAGGTTGTATAATCATTTGAATTTAGCGCAGCGCGCTTAGTGGCTTGCTGTTTAGCTAGTCGCCATCTTAACTTCAAAGACGAGCTTGGGCAATCTCATGCAACTCATGGCCGTTGATCAACTAGGGTGGAAGAAAGGCAAAAACATATAATTATGGCCCTGCTCTTGTTTAAGGTTGTCGATAATTTGGCACCATCGAGGTTCTCATCAATGTTCCAGAATTCAAATCATATCGATAGTTATAATTTTACGAATATGAACTTCGTAAAATTTACGAGATTCAAATTCGTCTCTCTTTCTAGATCTGCCACGACCAAATAACGAGTATGGCAGAAAATGTTTCCGATATAGTGGGGTTAAAATTTGGAATAGCATTCCTGAACAAGTAAGAAACAGCGAATCTTTAAATTCTTTCAATAGAAATATTTCCTCTGTTAGTCTGACGAATTAGCTATTTGACTACTGTACCATTTGTTTTGTAATATGTATTTTGTATTCGTAGTTCTTAATATTATTAGTGATTTTGTATTTTATATATTTTTGTAAAAATAAATTATCTACGCCCCACTTGGAAAGCAGCTTCGGTTGAAGTGGCCAGCGTACTCAAATAAAGTTTTATCCTATCCTAACAAATTTTTGATATTATCCGCAACCTAAACATTTTTCTCATGCGTGCCCTCATAAATCCGCCATGTTGAAATTTGAGTAGGAGTACAAAGTAACAAACTACAAACTACAATGCAAAGTAAAAAGTCTTACTAGTCTTGTTGTCTAATTTGTAGTTTGTGGATATATTTTGAAATATTAAATTATTTGAAGGTACAAAGCAAATGTACGTGCAGTTACAAAACGGTAAGGTGCAGCCTTGACCTTGTAAAATCAAAGTAGTTTCGCGTAAATATAATTTACTTATAAAACTTTTTTGCATGCTCTGAACGTCACTACTGTCATTGTTTTGCTAATATCTCTATATAAAATTACAAAATGATAGTTCTTTCTTCGTTAGGGTTTCGTTTTTCTTCAATGTAAACAAAGTGTTTTCATGTTCTTGAAACAAAAATATTTAGTTGTCGATAAACAGTAAATCGCCTAAATAATCGTCGAGAACTATGGTTTCCGTGTTGCCTCAAGCTCAAGCAATGAACATTTCAAAACATATTAATTTTACGAAGCGATTCAGGTTAAATTTGCATTAAACCAAAGCTCACAAAATGCAGAACAACATACCTACAGTACATATTTCGGAAATTTATTTTTATATAGTTAAAAGCAATAATCTTTCAGCTATTTTTGACGTGTTGTTATGTTGTACAAAAAATATAATAAAAATTAAATTTATCGTGTTGCCATGGCAACACTGACGTAAACGCAAGCCTGCGTTCATTATTGATCGATTACTAATACTTTATGTTAAATCAATGTTTGGAAAATACATGCGAGGGGTTGCTGCATGCATGCATTTCTAGTATTTCATACAATTATTCCTGTGCATCGCTGTCTTTGTATTTCTGTCTTCGTCGGGCTATAATCCTATAAGATGTCATTTTGACTGCTTAAGTAACAGGATTTATTTGGCATTAATTTGCAGGGGTGGAAAAAGTATCGGAACCTGGGTACCTAGTTCCCAGAAATTTTTTTGAGTTGAGAGTTTTGCAGAAAATTTTCCAGAAAATATTTCAACATTTTAAGATAGCTCTGTTTACTCAATTTACAAGTTACAACTATTCTACTTTATTTACATTGTACACGCTAACATCAGCAGCCTTTTAAATATTTGACAGAAATTAATTCTTTTACCCACCCCTGCCATCACAATGAGGTAAAATGGTAAATTATTCTTGTTGTTAAATCCTCAATGTCGTAAAAAAGCAGCTTTAAAAGAACGTAAACATATTCATACTGGTTAAAATAAACAGCAGCTTTGGCTTTTTCAGTAAAATTCCCAGCGAGTAAAAGTCGATCTTGAATAGCGAGGTCGACTTGTTTCACTTGCAGGAATTTAGATCTGATTAAAAATTCTGGCGCGAAAATTATTGCGGTTAATTATTACGCATGCAAGTTTCACTAAAGTTGTCGATTTCAGCTGAATTTGTAAATAGACTGTCCTTTGACTTTTCGATCGTAGATCTCCGCTCAAATTTGAAAACACAGTAATTTCTAATGACAATCTGTTAATAACATAAGCGGTTGAACAAAATGCTATCAATTGACCATTTGCGTAACAGACTAAATTTTGAACTAAACAAGTCTAGACAAAAATTTCATCACAGCTTGAAGGAGCATCACAAAATTAGTAATATTCCAAAGTTTCGTTGCAAAATGTTGTAAAATGCGGAAAATATAGCCTTGCGAAATTTACAATTTTCAGTCATTTTAGATTACAAACGGGAAATTGACAGCCCCAAACCCTTCGAGGCTGTCAATTTCCGGTTTGTAATCTAAAATGACTGAAAATTGCAAATTTTGCAAGGCTATATTTTCCGCATTTTACAACATTTCGCAACGAAACTTTGAAATATTACTAATTTTGTGATGTTCTTTCAAGCTGTGTTGAAATTTTTGTTGAGATCAAAATTTAGTCTATTACGCAAATGGTCAATTTAGACTATAAAAATGCCGTATGTAAATTTACGGTAGATTTATACTTCTTTCTATGACTAACGGCTTATTGACCGAGCGTGAGGTCTGTACTGCGAAATATCAGACCGAAGTTTTTTAGTATGGACCGAGCGACGAAGGAGCAAGGTCCATGCAAAGAAACAGAGGACTGATATTTCACAGTACAGACCGAACAAGCGAGGTCAATAATCGGTTTATTATATGGCTGAACTGAGTCTGTGAGCATATGCTTTTCGCGCGAATTAAATCGCCTTTCGTCAGTTTGACTGGGTAACAATATACGGTAGGCATGCATGCTCAATCAAAACAATTTGGTTGTTTGAAATTTTTGTCTGTAAAGCACAATTAGAAATTTAAAAAGCAAAACTTTTTTTTTGTTTGCAAAGCAAAAATCTCCCGCCAGATAAACGACATCCGGGACACCGGTCCAGATACGGAAAATACGGACCACGGTCCGGATATGGGTTTTTACAGACCGCTTGTCAACCAATCAGAATAGAGAATTTTGAAAAGCCATATAATAAAAAATGGAAGATGTAGACTGTAAGGACATGGACATGGAAGATGTAGACTGTAAGGGACGGCGATTCTTTCCTGCATGGACACATTGAACTATTGCAGTAATTATTATTAGCATCACAAAATTACTGGATGCTGATTGGTTGAGAGGAGTACAATTATTTCATTAATTGTACTGCAGTACAATTAATGATTTTCCGAAAACAGACAAAATGGCGGAAAGGTATTTTGAGCACAAATGTGAAATGAAATTGCCCTTGAAGAACTAGATGAAAATACGAACAAAAGCACCAAATTTTGCTTCAACAAAAGAACTAAATGAAAATACGAACAAAAGTACCAAATTTTGGTTGAAAGTCTGGCAGGACTGGGCTTTGGCGAGAGAATATGATGTTGACGGAGAAGTATCCAATTTTGTCATATGCTAATAATAAACAAGTACGGCGGCTCGTCCAATTTTGGCAAAATTTCCAAACATCACTCGTACTATTAATCCCTAATTGTCCTCGCCATCGCATGATTACCTATACTCAGCTCAGAGGCGCCGGAATATCGATAATTGAAGGGGAGATATTCATATTTTCGTGTTCTGCCCAATTAATTTCTTTTGAAATCGATTGTTTTTACAGTCTGTGAACATAAATATATGAATATCTGCCCCCGCAATTATCGATATTCCGGCGCCTCTGCCTATACTAATTAGAAGAGTTCGTTGTAGTGAATTACATGAAGTAACATTCTAACAAACGTTGTTTGCCGTTCTTGTAGGGACAAAAATACCGCTTTAGTTTAGAAAATTAACTTAGTTAAACAACTGTTCGGCTCTGTTGCCAATATTTTATTGCATCTTCGAGAAGAACCATATTCTCTACTTTGGAATGACTTTGTTTTATTGTTAATTTGTATAAATAAGTCGAAAACCTATTAATTACTGTTATGACATTTGAATAATTAATTCAAATAATTTAAATATCGCTTTTTATTGGCTAGAGTAATGACCTCCCCCCCCCCCAATGATACCCCGGCCAAAAAGTCCACCGGTAGATTTGGAGCGCTGCCCAAGGCCGGCGAGAGGGGGGGGGGGGCAGGGAGAGGGGCAAAATACCTGGGGCACGGAGTGCTCAGAGGGGCCCGGAAATCTTGGCAAAATGTTCGTAATACTGTCGTTTATCATCGCTAAATGTTTGTCCTACATGAAATACGCCTATTTGCACACTATCCGCTGATCGTCATGATTGATCGTAAAACGTACCAAATGTGAAATAAACGATTTTTCGATCGTTTTCTCAGCAAAAACAGTTAGCTGAACATCGTTCACATTGCGCTTTTATCAGTTATGCGGCGATTTCTTGCAAGTAATTCGCTGGCAATTCTCTCGTTGATTGCGATTAAAAATAGCCAGCGGGAGAGTCGAGAGGGACAGGGGGCCAGTGTTCACTAATCGTCATTTTGTCCCGGGGCCCGTTGTTGGCTCTCGCCGGCCTTGAGCGCTGCAAGTGAGAAAAGTCCTTTCCAGCGTACATATATATACAAACAGCGAAAAAAAAAACTGGAAAGGATTTTGAGAAAGTCTATTTTGTATCATGAGCATATACGGATCAATTTTTTATGGTGTAACGTGTAAATCATTAATAAAGATAATAAACAGCAAGGAACCGAGTTCAACATAGGAACAGCTGTTGCAAAGGAATACACAACTTAAAAGGAAAATAAGTGAAATAATTACAAGGCAAAAGACTTACAATGAATCCAAATACTTTCATTAACACGCTATTTCTTTGT